ATGGTGGTGGTGAGAGTGTGATGGTGATGGTAGTGTGGTCGAGGTGGGATTGTGATGGTGGTGGTGGGAGTGTGATGGTGATGGTATTGTGGTCGAGGTAGGAGTGTGATGGTGGTGGTGGGAGTGTGATGGTGATGGTAGTGTGGTCGAGGTGGGATTGTGATGGTGGTGGTGGGAGTGTGATGGTGATGGTAGTGTGGTCAATGTGGGATTGTGATGATGGTTGTGGTGGGAGTGTGATGGTGATGGTATTGTGGTCGAGGTAGGAGAACGATGGCGGTGGGATTACGCTGATGATGGGAGTAGTAGTCATAGTAAATGTGGCGTTTTGTTTTGTTATTACTACGAGAAACCCGCACGTCGTTTTGACCGTGACCGTCCGTCCCCGTCCGTCACATCCATCCGTCGTCCCTTCCTCCAGCCAGCCAGCAAACCACAACAACACAAATGTAGCAGAGGATGGTTACTCTGCACCGGGTTGGAGCGGTGGCGCAGCGGTTAGCGTACAGCGAAATACGAATCCGCCAGCCAACCCCCCGATTTCGACTGACTCCCGTTCACGGCTGGAATCAGAATATTTATTAATACCGGAGGAATCCGATGCGCTATGAAGCTCTTTTTTCACAGATGTCCAGTGGACTAACATACCGACCTCCCGTGAAGCCAGATGTGAAAACCCGGTCCAGCAATCTCCTCTACCCTCATCCGCCGACCCACGCCCGCCTCCCACCGCACCCTGCGCCAACACGCGCTGACCACCGCGGTGAAGTATGGTTTAAAAATAAAAAAACACACCCACCACCCACATGGTGTCGTGGAGGTCTTCATCCATCAGTGGATTGTACACGGGCTGGTCGCTGGGGTAAAGTGTGGGTACTCCCAGTAGCGTTACGAGTTGCCCCCCCCACCCACCCCCCCTGGACAATCACCATGAGATATGTTTACAACAACAGTGTAAAAGAACAACAATTGTTTAAAACGCGGTTCTAAATTAAAAAAAAAAATGTCAGTTAATAAAAATGCTTTCAATGACGTTCCGCGCTTTATTTTACTTCAATTCGAGCAGCAGTCACGTTACGGCGTCCGCACATTGCGCAGAATCAAACATCGGAGCCCCACGTGACCGATTGCCGCATCCCCCGAGCTGATGATGTCGCCACGACGCCACTGATGCTCCCGCCTCTTTGTTCGCTGCGTGGAAAGAGTAGGCCAAGATGCCCCCTGGGCTCGAGGAGCAGCCTCAAGAGCTACCTTGCGCCAGCAGCGGCGTGCGCAAGACGTTGCAGGGGCTGCACCTTGGCCGTCGTTTGATTCGTACTGTTCCGGGGAGCGGAGCGGTGGCGCAGTGGTTGGCGCACTGCGCCCGTCAGCGCCGGTCCATTCCCACGTCAAAGCGAAACAAAAGCACGATTATATTGGCATCGGTCAGGCACGCGGTCCGGGTTGGTGTGGTCAGCATCGCGCCCGGCCGCCTTTGTCTCCTTAAGTGCCGCCCCCCCCCCCACTTCCATCGGCTCTGACGTGAGCTACAACGAACGGAGGGATTCAGTCCTCGATTGAGAAGCCGAGTCGAGGCGAGCAGGATATCCGGAATAGGTTCACTCACCACTTGACATTGATGTTATCCTGCCGACAGCGCATCGATCGAACCACTGCGCCACCGCTCTCTGCGAACGCGCACACACGCACGCGCACCCCCCCCCCCCCCCCCCATGTAGCCTTGAACAAGGATGTTGGGGTGAGTGTTGTTAGCGAGCACCTATTAAGGCCGGCACGGCACACGTTACGGTGGGGGGTGGCTAGCACCACGCCCGAACGTGCTTCATCTCTCATTCACTATTTACACGCGGCGCGAGGATATTCATTGTAAGGCTAAGTCGACCTACCAGAGGTCCAGGACTGCGTCAAATATTCGCCACTTAAGTCGTGAGCTGGAATTTAACTCGGGTCAGTGCCACCGCTCTCCACCTATTCTTCCACAGGCAGAAACCACCATCGTTTTACCAATCATCACAATCGCAATTGTCATATTCTTTGGGTCTTTCGGTTAAGTCACGTAGATAGGTTCAAAGAAAATAACAAAATACAAAAAAAAACTAGGACGTTTCGATCGCAATGCAAGCGGTCGTCATCTTTTCGTGATGACGACCGCTTGTGTTGCGATCGAGATGTCGTAGTATTTTTGTTATTTTCTTTGAACCTATCTACGTGACTTGACCGAAAGACCCAAAGAATATGAATTCCTGCAGTCACGAACGCTTTAAGTCAAGATGCAATTGTCATGATTAGCATTGTCACTTTCACCACCACCATCATCCATCACCAGAATCATCGTCCATCACCACCATCATCATCAATCTTCCATTATCATCACACCTGCTGCCACAACTTGCAATTGTCATGATTAGCATTATCACTGTCACCACCATCATCCATCACCACCATCATCATCCATCATTTATCATCATCACAACTGCTGCCACAGTTGCAATTGTCAGTTTTACACGTAGGATTTCGCGACCAATATTATTCGTAATAAAGGTGTTTGGTTCTTTCGGTAAAGTCACGCAGGTAAAATAAAATAAATTAAAACTAAATTAAATCACGTTTCGGAGGCAACACAAGCTTCCGTCTTCAGATGGAAACCGTCACAGCAAAATTGCTGTGATTTAATTTAGTTGTTTTCATTTATTTTATTTTACCTACGTGACTTTACCAAAAAAACAAAGAGTATGAATCCTTGCAGTCACGAAAGCTTCAAATCTAGAAAGGTTTTTGGGTTAGATCGCGTAAGTATGTGTCGTAACCCTCCACCACCCGACACAGCCAATTAGTAATGGATTTGTCACGTAAACAGAAGGCCAAATAGTTTACTACTCCAGCCCACCGGCGTGTTGGAGAGTAAATTGTAAATGTTGTAGATTTATTCTCCAACACACCGGTGGGCTGAAGTAGTAAACTATTTGGCGTTTTGTTTACGTGACAAATCCCTTACTAATTGGTTGTGTCGGGTGGTGGTGGGTTACAACACATTGATACTTACGCGATCTAACCCAAAAACCTTTATTATGTGCAATTCTCATGATAAGCATAGTCACCACCATCATCCGTCAACATCATACAACATATATCATAATCACCATCCACCACCATCGATATCATCATCCACCATCATTATCAACCATTACCATCCACCACGAACATCATCCATCATAGTTCCATAGTTCCATTTATTTGGTATAGCCCTGTGAGCCATTCGGCTCTTGAATCGGGTGCAACCGCAACAAACATCATCACCATCATCCAGCACCATCATTATTATCATCCACTACCATCACCATCCATCATCATGATCATCATCCATCAACATCATAACCATCCACCACAGTCATCCATCATCATACACCATCATAGTCATCATCTAGCACCAACATCTATCAACATCCATCAACATCAATCGCCAACATCACATCATCATCACCATCACCATCCACCATCATCTAATACGCCGTTATCTTCTCATCTCAATCACGCGCAATCACCATCACATGTGCGTGTACCCCCCTCCCCCCTCCATCCCCCCCCCCCCCCACTTTCTCAGGAACATGGATAAATATAAATATTTTTTCCCGGAGTTCAACCCCGGACAGCTCCAGTAGCTGAAATGAAGTTCCCGGCCAAACAAAGAAATAATTCCGCTATGTGTCGTTACGAGCGTTCGTATCGCGCGCGTGACTGCGTGGCGCGCTCGCCAGACTCGAGAGGAATATTGTCGTCCGACGTTCTCGTCTGTGTCCAATTATTATTGCTGTTGTCGTCGTTGTTACGGCAGTCAGTGCTTGTTCAGTTCACAGTGGGGTTTAGTCAGCATTGTGCCCTGATTGTCTCCGCGTAACCCAGGTCGCCCGTGCAACAGGGACAAAGCAATGGCATCCCGGCGTGTCAATGATTATTATCATCAGGTCAGACCATCGGTTGATCCTTAAGTAAAACTTTGCAAGCAACTAACGCGCGGAGCCAATTACCACCTCCTTTTTTCTCTTCCTCTGCGCGCCACCATCTCCAGTAACGTCACTCAATTATCTCACTCTGCCTCTCTCGCCCTCAGTCTGCAAAGGAAGGCGTCAGTGGCTGACTAGTGACCGTGTTTGTACACGCGGGCGGATAGCGATGCGAGGAAGTCAATGCCTCCATCCCTGTGCAGGTGGAAAAGTTTGGGATATTGTCTTCTTATTTTTGCGCTGCTAACCAGCTTATCGTGGCGAGCCGAGGGTACGGCTCCTCCGGGACACCCCCACGGGAGATTTAGTGCGGTGATCCACCAACCCCTGGCCGCCTCCACCGTGCTGGATTACTGACGTGATACCACTAACTACTTACAACTAGAATATTTAAAACGAAACATTTTTTTTGGGTTTTACCAGGTAAGGCCCACTGAGCTATTACGACTTCTTTATCGGAAGCGACCTGGGCCGCCGCAAATGACACGTGTACTCTCACACGAAGTCGGCTTATCGCGCGGAAATTTGTAGCAGCCAAATACTCTCAACGCGCGCGTCGACTCTAAATGTGGAGGGGGAAAACCCCCGGAGGACTCGGGAGATAAATCCGCACGACCACGGGAGAGAGAGAGAAGCAGACTCCAAATGTACACGCGTCAGCGGGTCGGGATTGAACCCGCGACCTCGTGCACAACAGGCGAGGTAGTTAACATCTCGCCGCCGTGGCGCTCTGACGCGTTGGCAGTTGAGCCGGGCAGTTGACCAGGGCAGTTGACCGGGGCAGTTGAGCGGGGCAGTTGACCGGGGCAGTTGTGCGGGGCAGTTGAGCGGGGCAGTTGACCGGGGCAGTTGTGCGGGGCAGTTGAGCGGGGCAGTTGACCGGGGCAGTTGTGCGGGGCAGTTGAGCGGGGCAGTTGAGCAGGGCATGTGGTGATGACGCGCGCCAGTGGTACAATTGTGTGAACACATTCACAGAGCAACGCGAGCGGGGCAGGCAAACTCAATGTTACCGACGGGCACTTTTAATGATATCACCGTTAGCGCGCGTGTCGTGACCAGCAATGTCACGCCCGACTTCTGGTAATATCGGGGGGTTGGGGGTCATGACAGTGGAACGTGACCCCCCTGGTGACCCCCGCCGCCAAGCTCAGAGGCATCGCTTGAGCTCGCAGAAGATGTGCGTCATCTCACTCTCCAGGTCGACGTTCACGCACTCAGCCTGGGAGAGTTTGTCTGCGAGAGAGGAGGGGGGCGGGGGGGAGGGCGGGGGGGAGGGCGGGGGGGGGGTCAAGAGGTCAGACGCAGAAGACGTCACTCTTAAGTGGCCGGGACTGCAGCTGTGCGAGTGGTGGAATCTGTGTGTGGTGAGGTGTAAATGTGTGCGTGTGTGCGCGCGTGTGCGGGAGTGACATTGTTTTTGCCCACGTGGTTCAGTGGTACTTAGGCTAAGTGCACTTAGCCTGGCACGAGCGCCGTGGTGACGTCGCCGTCACTTGGTGGCGAATGGCGGTCGTTGTGTTGTTGCGGTTGTGTGTGAGTGCGTGAGTGAGAGAGTAGAAGCGTGCGCGTGTGTGTTGATGTCTTTTTGGGCGTGTAGCAATAGGTGCTCGCTAACAACCCTTGCCCCAACAGTCTGTGAAGGCTGATCGTGGGACCTTTGTAACTTTGCGTTGTGGGGAGCGGCAGTGCAACGGTGAGCGCGCCGTGCTACGAACCCAGCGACCCAAAGTCGAATCCCGCTCACGGCCACCACCAGCGACGGTTATCTACAACGGTCCTGGGCCTTCCCTAGGTCGACTCAGCCACAAATAAGGACCTGGTGCGGTGTGCAAACATCGCCACTGGGGAGACAAAGGCGGTCACGCTGGAGCTGGCCACCCACCCCCTCGTGTGCCATGCCGGCCTTCATAGGTGCTCGCCAACAGCACTTGCCCCTACAGTCTGTTAAGGCTATACGGGGGGATATTTGTCTTCCGTGTGTACTCTAAAGGTGCACACGCGGATCGTACATCTGAATATTGCAAGCGACTAAACGAGCGGGTGCTCTTGTGGGTACTCCGGTGGGTATCCATTGGCGCCCCGAGTACGCGAGCGAGCGAGCGAGTATTCTGGTGGGCACGCACGCGAGTGTGTCACCCCAGCGGGTACGCGAGGCGTGTGCTCACCCTCCAGCTGGTGCACCACCTTCTCCAGCTTGCGCGTGTGCTTCTCCGCGCACTCCGCACGCACCTCCATCTGCGGGGGGGGGAGAGGGAGGCGACACGTAGCACACGTGTCACACGTAGCACACGTGTCACACGCAGCACACGTGTCACACGCAGCACACGTGTCACACGCAGCACACGTGTCACACGTAGCACACGTGTCACACGCAGCACACGTGTCACACGCAGCACACGTGTCACACGTAGCACACGTGTCACACGCAGCACCCCTGTCACACGCAGCACACGTGTCACACGTAGCACACGTGTCACACGCAGCACCCCTGTCACACGCAGCACACGTGTCACACGTAGCACACGTGTCACACGTAGCACACGTGTCACACGCAGCACACGTGTCACACGCAGCACACGTGTCGCCACGGTGGCGAGTTGTGAACGACCTCGCCTGGTCTACAGGAGGTCGTGGGTTCGATACCGACCCTGAACGCCTGCTGGAATATTTGTAGCTCTGCGTGCGCTCGCCGTGCTCGGAGGACTTGCACGCGGTGAATTTCCACACGATGATAAAGCCACTTCGCTGAGCTATCATTTGTGGCCAGGTCGCTTCTTAATAAAAGAAACTTCGTGGCTCATTAGGCCTGACGTGCTACAATAAGAAAGAGTTCACATTAGGTTAGTTAAGCAAACATAAAGGTCATCGGAGGTCGGGTTCGGCGCGCGTCAATTTGGGTCAGCGAGTGACCACGGCGACGGCGGCGTACCCACGGGTACACGTGTGTACACACGGGTACACGTGTGGGTACGTGTGGGTACACGTGAGTACACGTGTGGGTAAACGTGTACCCAGTACACGTGTACCCAGTACACGTGTACCCGTGAGTACATGTGTACGCGTGTACCCGTGAGTACATGTGTACCCGTGAGTACACGTGTACACGTGTACCCGTGAGTACATGTGTACGCCTGAGTACACATGTACCCGTGAGTACACGTATACACGTGTACACGGGAGTACACGTGTACCCGTGAGTACACATGTACGCGTGTGCCCATGTACGCGTGTACACATATACGCGCGAGCACGCGTGTACCCGTGTTCGCGCGTATTGGCGAGGACACGGGCACTCGCTCACGAGCGCGCGCACTCACGTCGTGCAGCCTCTCCATCTGGCTCGCCATCTCCTTCTCGTACATCTTCTCCGAGTGCAGCAGCTGACGCGGGGGGTGGGGGCAGAGAATACACGAGGTGCGTGAGTAACACGTGTGTGCACACAGTAGTGCACGTGTCAGAGTGCGCGTGTGAGAGCACACGCGTCAGAGTACACGCGTTAGAGTACACGGGTGGGAGTACACGGGTGGGAGTACACACGTGGGAGTACACGGGTGGGAGTACACGCGTGGGGGTACATGTGTACTCGAGTGTGAGTGGGAGACGTGTCCCCGTGTGGGAGCACACGTCTACTCCCACGCGCGAGTACACGCGAGTACCATCTCCTCGTTGCGGAACATGAGCAGCAGCTCCTCCTTCAACTTCTTCAGCTTCTTCTCCAGCTGCACCACGCCCCTGCAGACACACGTACACACACGCGCGTGTACACGGTGCTGTGGGCGCGTGTACACGGTGCTGTGGGTGCGTGTACACGTCCCCCTTGTTCCCATGATTCTCTGCGTCTCTCTCGGTCTCTCCGGCTGGAGCACGCATACCACACACATGTCGGTGATGTGCACGTCTTCTTCGAACGCTGGGGAGCCGGAAAAGCCCTCTGTACCAGCGTGGACGGCACCCCACGTGTTCACCTTCTGAAGCGCTCGCTCGTCAACGTGGCGTGCGCGATGACCACCACAACCACCACGTGACTTTTCTTTCATGTTGTGCGCGGTGCTTTTTAGCGCCACAGCGCGTGGATTTGTAACGTTTATTTCCATTTGTTTGCTGGTGACTGTGTCTTTCAAATCGAAATCGCCTCCAGTGCTTTTGCTGCTGGCGGAAATGAAAGTTGTTTAAAAGTCAAGTCTCGGTCTCTCTCTCTCTCTCGACGTCTCTTTGCCTTCAACGCGCCTCTGCGTCTGTCTCTCCAACCCCGTGCCGTGCGATCTCTCTCCACGTGCGATCTCTCTCCACGTGCGATCTCTCCCCACGTGCGATCTCTCTCCACGTGCGATCTCTTCCCACGTGCTTGTCTCTCAGCCTGCCCGATGTGTCCGCACTGTTGACAATGTCGCTCTCCCTCTCGTCCTGGGGCGGTCGTCAAATTGACGCACCCCCTCCCCTCCACCCCCACACCCCTTCCACCCCCACACCCCCCTCCCCTCCACACCCCCTCCCCTCCACCCCCACACCCCCTCCACCCTCCTCCCCTACACACCCCCCTCCCCTCCACCCCCCTCCCCTCCACCCCCCTTCCACCCCCACACCCCCCTCCCCTCCACCCCCCCTCCCCTCCACCCCCCCTCCACCCCCACACCCCCCTCCCCTCCACCCCCTTCCCTCCACCCCCACACACCCCTGCACCCTCACACACCCCTCCCCACCACCCCCTTCCCTCCACCCCCTCCCCTCCACCCCCACCCCTTCACCCTCCCCACCCCTGCACCGCCCCGCAACCCCCGAGCCGCAGGGAATGTCCGGCTCTGAGCCGACTGCAAGGGAGGGGATGCAGGAGCAGAATACGCAGCGTGCTCGCGGGAGACTCACTGCTCAGAGCAGCATGCGCGCTCCTCCGACTTGATGAGGTCGCCTTCCAGAATCCGCAGCACTCTGTTGGCCTACAGCGAAGACAAAGACCCCCCCCACCCCACCCCACCGCGTGTTACAGCCTCGACAGATCTCTGGGGCAGGTGCTGCGAGCGAAGCACCCTTTGACGTACGCGCGATCTTGACCCACCGCGCCAGGCACACTCGTATTGAGGCTGAGTTGACCTAGGGGAGGGCCGGTGCAGATCATCGTCGCCGGTGTAGAACACAGCAAAGCGGCTACCGCTGCCCAAAAAACAAAAGCGGGTTGAGGCCGTGTATTTCTCGACGAAACGTCGGACATCGTGCCGAACAACACACAGCGGTGACAACCAGAGAACGCGCGGGAGGGACGTGTGTGATGTGTGGGGTGTGTGCAGTGCGTGGCGTGTGTGTGACCGTGTGGTGTGTGTGTGGGTGTGTGTGGCGTGTGGTGTGTGTGTGTGACCGTTTGGTGTGTGTGTGTGTGGTGTGTGTAGTGTGCGGTGTTTGTGTGTGTATCTGCGGCTCTAAGTCCGAAACTACGCGGGTGATCGTTGTCTTTGTGCGGCCGTCTCGCACCTCCTTGAATTGGCACTCGGTCTCCGTGAGCATCTCCCGAGCGCGCTTCAGCTGCATGCACTGCTCCTCGATGGTCTGCTCCCCGCAGAGCACGCGGTCTTCCAGGTCACACATTGCCCTTGGTTAGGAGGGGGGAGACATTAGACAAAGATTCCCCCTATAGCCTTTAACGGACCTTTGGGGCAAGTGCCGGTAGCGAGCAGCACCTGTGAAGGCCTGGCACGGCACACCGCGCGAGGGGCTATGTCTGCGCCTCTGTGTGTTTCTGTGTCTTTGCATGTCGCTCTGCGTGTCTCTGTCTGTGTGCCTCCTTGTGCTTACGTCTCTGTGCACGTCGATGTTTCTGTATCTCTGTGTGTCTGCATCTCTGCGTGTCCCTCTCCGCGTGGCTACGTCTCCACATCTGTCCACCTGTGTCTCTGCGTGTGTCCGCGCGTGTTCTCTCTGCCGCGCGCGCGCCTTCAGCTCGCACTTACTTCTTGTACTCGCAGGCCACGTGCTCGGCGTCGTTTAGCTGATCCAGCACCAGATGCAGGTCCTGCTCGGCACGGCTCAGCTCTGCCCGTGTCACGTGCACCTGCTTGCCCATGCACGCCACGCGGCTCTCCGCCTGCGTCACGGACACGCGCAAACGGAGTGCGTCGCGGACACGCGCGTGCAACAAGAATGCATGCAAAGGACACATCTGTGTGCTGAACTTCAACTCGCACCGCACGTAGCCGACCGTGCTAAATAGTACACATGCGTCATGAACACGCGCATGCGAGGTGCGTACATGCAAACGACGTGCGTCAGGAATGCAACGTGCGTACGTACGGACGACGGAGGTCACGAATGTGACATGCGTACATTCAAGCAACATGCATCACGTATGCGGCATGCATACGTACACACACGCACATTCAACCAACGTGCGTCACGCAAACAAGATGCATGCACTTATGTTCGTAGTGTTGTTTGTTGAACTTCTTTCGCACCGTACGTATCCATCCGTGCTAAACATCGTACGTACACATCATGCTTAACGTATCGGCATTAATACATTCATGGGGGTGGAGAGAACCCGGGTCAAGGTTATGCCCCCCCCCCCGATATTCCCCCTCCCTAAACCACGCCCCTCCTCCAACAATACCCCTCCCTCCCCCACGCCCCAAATATCCCCCCTCCCTCAATCACGCCCCTCCCCCACCAATACCCCCCTCTCTCCCTCCCCGACGCGCCCCCGCCCCCACCCAATATCCCACCTCCACCATCTCCCCTCCCCCACACCATATTAACGAATCCGCTCGAGTAAATTTCGATCTGAGAATCATCAAATTTTTTTTCGGTTTGCAATCTCCCTTGCCCACCGCAACCGTCTCGTTTGTGTTTTTGTTTCTCGGCATTTCCCCCGAGTTGATTTTGTCCTTGCCTCGGCTCTTTGTGCGATTTCCTCCTCATCATCCTCCTTCGTCCGTCCGTCCGTCGAGGCTAAATAAACGCCGCGTGATTTCCGAGACCACGATGTCACACCCGACTCGTCGAGCCGCCTCGCCCAGCCTTTGCCGGTGGTTTAACGCAAGCCCCCGCGTGCGCGGCGGCTCCTAACGAAGCCTCTGCGCGGCCTTTGAAAGGGTTCCCAGATGGGCGCTCGGGGAACGCAACGTCGAGCGCGTTCGAGTTAGGCTCAGCGCGGTTTAAGTAGCGTGGTCAAGGACGAGGAGGTCAGGGCCTTCGGTGAGGCGCGCAAGTTTGATACCTATTAAAAGTCGCTGTGTGGGTTCGAGTCGGGGGTTAAAGTGTGACCGTTGGTCGCAGCGCGGAATTGAGGCGCTCTTGTGTAAGCATCAAGAGTTGCCATTTATGTTCGAGTCAGGGGGCCTGGATCGGCGTGACGGAGGTCAATTTGTAGGCAGTTGTTGTCAACGTTGAGGACGATGGTTGTTAGGGGCTCTCTCACCTCCTCGCGGGCCTGCTTCTCCGAGTAGAGGTCGCTATTGAGGCAGGCTGCCCGCTCCTCGGCACTCTTCGCCTGGCATTGCAACGTCTTAATCTTCGAGCGGACGCACTCGAGGGAGTGAATGTCGTCCATGGCGCTGGTGTTCATCGAGAGGGCCTTGCGGTTGAGAACTCGGCTAAGGGAGTGCCTCACCGCCGATTGGATTCTTGCCGTTCGAACCGACCCAGAGTCCACCCCTGCCAGACTCCTGCCCCGTAGCGGTCTCTAATCAAGAAAGTTCGTCGACCAGTAAAAGCATAAATCGGAAATTAAACTAAATAATAATGCACGGATTATAATTGTTTTTTCCTCGATCGTGACTTAAAGAGAATACACGTCCTCGACAAGCAAACCTCCACGCCCCAAATAGTCGTTTGAGAATGTTATTTATTTCTAGATAAATGTATGGGGTTTATTTTATTTATGTCTTTAGTTTTTGAAGGCGCAGAGAAAACAAACCGACGCTGCGGCCGCCGCGGCTGTAACGGATTTGTTTTTTTTGGCGCGCGCCGATCGCGTAGTCATTGAGTACGTGCGCACGTGGGCCAGTCGCGTGAGCCAGTCGCGTGAGCACGTGGGCCAGTCGCGCGCGCACGTGGGCCAGTCGCGTGAGCCAGTCGTGTGCGCACGTGGGCCAGTCGCGTGAGCACGTGGGCCAGTCGCGCGCGCACGTGGGCCAGTCGCGCGCGCACGTGGGCCAGTCGCGTGAGCACGTGGGCCAGTCGCGCGCGCACGTGGGCCAGTCGCGCGCGCACGTGGGCCAGTCGCGTGAGCACGTGGGCCAGTCGCGCGCGCACGTGGACCAGTCGCCGCGCACTCAGCCCCCTCACCACCCCCACCCCCAACACAACAAATCGGTATTTATCGTATGCGATATAATCATATATCGTACGCGGTATATCGTGAATTATGCTGTGATGCTGATGCTGCACCGACAATGACACAAAAAAACTCATTCGTCAACAACAATTCAGTGTGCGTGGCCCTTGAAAGTTACATCATACAATAGACGACGTTTCGGACAACGACCCTTCTTCATAGCACGCAAAAAAAGCCGCAACGTATCGTTAAGATATCACCGAATCGCGGCAAACTTACGGTAGGAGACGCAATTTTCACAGACACCCCCCTGCCCCACCAAAACCAGGCCCCCCACCACTCGCCCGTTCAATGTCACGTTTGTCTACAAAGGAAAGCCTCACCGAGTCTCAAGACGCCGTGCTCACGAGGCTCCTGTCCAAGTTGGTCACACTAAGGGGACGATGTTGCTGCTGACAGCTACGTGATGCTTGCTGCGTGCGATCCCGGGTTGGCACAGCGCGGGAGGGGGGTGATGGCGCAGCCGGTGGTGCATCTGCCAGTCATCTCAGTCAATCAACCCATGGGCACCACCTGGGTCTGCTCCCCGTGACCTCCTGCGCAGCAGCGAGCCTTCGACGCTTCACGTGGGCCTCAAAGTCCACCTGGCCCCGCACAGGCGCCGTGGTCACATCGGCGTCACTTCGTGGGGAATCGCGGGTATTGGTATCGGCGGAGTTCGGGGTTCCAGTGGAGTGATCTGCATGGGGGGTTGTTCGGCATTGGGAGTGGTATTGGCTAATCCCAGTTACGCTGCGTGTGTGTGGGGGGGGGGGGGGTATCGGTTAACGCGCTGAGCTACGATTCCCGCTCACGGCCACCACCAGTGACGACTCTCTGAACCGGTCCTGGGCCTCCCCTAGGTCGACTCAGGCTCAAATGAGTACTTGGTGCGGTGTGTAATAAACATCGTTTCTGGGGAGACAAGGGCGGCCGGGCGTGGTGCTGACAACCCAACCCCTCACGTGCCTTGTCGGCCTTCATATATACTCGCTAACAGCACTTGCCCCAACAGTATATAAAGGCTATAGGGGGGGGGGGGTCTTTGTCTTTGTGTATTTTTGTAGGTATGGGAGGGTGGAACCCGGAGGACGCCAATGCAGAACAGGCGGAGGACGTGGAAACTCCGCTCATAACACACACAAGGCGCTTGCCACGAATGAAGCACAATACCTGTGGTGATCTCGTCAAGGCGCATGAACCATCACCACGCCAACTCCGCTCATCGCAGCAGCAGCAACGGCCGTGGAGCAAAGACGGCGATCACCGCATCGCGCGCTTTCAGATGCGCTTCCGATATCAGGGAGCAACTGGAGCGATGCACTTTTAATTCGAGATTAAAACCCCATTTCTTTAGAACATATTTTTCGTGTGTTTAGTTTGCTGTCCTTCTACCGCACCTCCGATTAGCACGACTGGTTACGTACGGTGCGGAATAAGTTCCACATACATACACAACATGTAAAGATCCCCCGTATAGCCTTCACACACTCTTGGGGTAAGTGTTGTCTCTCCAATTGCGATACTTAGACACCAAACCAGGTACTGTACTTATTTGAGGCTGAGTCGACCTCGAGGAGGCCCTGGACCGGTTCAGATAATCGTCGCCGATTTTGTCCTTGAGCGGGAATCGAACTCGGGCCGCCGGATACGTAGCGTCGAGACAGAGACACGGAGTGACGAACACAAAGAGAGACACGCAGAGACACGCAGACAGAGAGAGACACAAATGCGTGTGTCTGCCTGCGTCTCCAGCTGTCGCTGTTCAGCAGTGGTCCTTCACCTGGGGTGCACGCACCCCTTGTGGGTGCGAGATGTCCTGTCTCACTTTTATTTAGGAAAGTAAATCATCGAAAGACAAATAAACCACGGGCGCGTAAGTTCCAACTACTTCGTTTCATCAAACCCCCCATGTGCATTTATTAACATTGTACATTTGTTTTACGATTGAGAACCAAATGGGTGCAAGGTTGCAGCAAAGATGAAGCACCACTGCTGGCAACGAACACCGTGGCTGTGTGCGGGGGGCGCCGTGTGCGTCTCTCTCTGGGTTTCACTTTCTCGAAGTGGCTACGTGTCTCTCTCCCTGACTGTGTCTCTCCGTCTGTGTCTCTCTCCCTGACTGTCTCTCTCCCTGACTGTCTCTCTCCCTGACTGTGTCTCTCCGTCTGTGTCTCTCTCCGTCTGTGTCTCTCCGTCTGTGTCTCTCTCCCTGACTGTGTCTCTCCGTCTGTGTCTCTCTCCGTCTGTGTCTCTCCGTCTGTGTCTCTCTCCCTGACTGTGTCTCTCCGTCTGTGTCTCTCTCCCTGACTGTGTCTCTCCGTCTGTGTCTCTCTCCGTCTGTGTCTCTCCGTCTGTGTCTCTCTCCCTGACTGTGTCTCTCCGTCTGTGTCTCTCTCCGTCTGTGTCTCTCCGTCTGTGTCTCTCTCCCTGACTGTGTCTCTCCGTCTGTGTCTCTCTCCCTGACTGTGTCTCTCCGTCTATGTCTCCATCCCTGACTGGGTATCTCCGTCTGTGTCTCTCTCCGACTGTGTCTCTCTCCCTGACTGTCTCTCTCCCTGACTGTCTCTCTCCCTGACTGTCTCTCTCCCTGACTGTGTCTCTCCGTCTGTGTCTCCATCCCTGACTGTGTCTCTCCGTCTGTGTCTCTCTCCCTGACTGTGTCTCTCCGTCTGTGTCTCTCTCCCTGACTGTGTCTCTCCGTCTGTGTCTCTCTCCCTGACTGTGTCTCTCCGTCTGTGTCTCTCTCCCTGACTGTGTCTCTCCGTCTGTGTCTCTCTCCGACTGTGTCTCTCTCCCTGACTGTCTCTCTCCCTGACTGTCTCTCTCCCTGACTGTCTCTCTCCGACTGTGTCTCTCTCCCTGACTGTCTCTCTCCCTGACTGTCTCTCTCCGACTGTGTCTCTCTCCCTGACTGTCTCTCTCCCTGACTGTCTCTCTCCGACTGTGTCTCTCTCCCAGACTGTCTCTCTCCCTGACTGTCTCTCTCCCTGACTGTCTCTCCGTCTGTGTCTCTCTACGCCTGTGTCTCTCTCCCCGTTTGTGTCTCTCCGTCTGTGTCTCTTCCTGACTGTGTCTCTCCGTCTGTGTCTCTCTCCCTGACTGTGTCTCTCCGCCTGTGTATCTCTCCGACTGTGTCTCTCCCCGTCTGTGTCTCTCTCCGTCTGTGTCTCTCTCCGTCTGTGTCTCTCTCCCTGACTGTCTCTCCCCGTCTGTGTCTCTCTCCGTCTGTGTCTCTCTCCGTCTGTGTCTCTCTCCCTGACTGTCTCTCTCCGTCTGTGTCTCTCTCCGACTGTGTATCTCTCCCTGACTGTCTCTCCCCGTCTGTGTCTCCGACTGTCTCTCCCCGTCTGTGTCTCTCTCCGACTGTGTCTCTCTCCCTGACTGTCTCTCTCCCTGACTGTCTCTCTCCGACTGTGTCTCTCTCCCTGACTGTCTCTCTCCCTGACTGTCTCTCTCCGACTGTGTCTCTCTCCCAGACTGTCTCTCTCCCTGACTGTCTCTCTCCCTGACTGTCTCTCCGTCTGTGTCTCTCTACGCCTGTGTCTCTCTCCCCGTTTGTGTCTCTCCGTCTGTGTCTCTCCCTGACTGTGTCTCTCCGTCTGTGTCTCTCTCCCTGACTGTGTCTCTCCGCCTGTGTATCTCTCCGACTGTGTCTCTCCCCGTCTGTGTCTCTCTCCGTCTGTGTCTCTCTCCGTCTGTGTCTCTCTCCCTGACTGTCTCTCCCCGTCTGTGTCTCTCTCCGTCTGTGTCTCTCTCCGTCTGTGTCTCTCTCCCTGACTGTCTCTCTCCGTCTGTGTCTCTCTCCGACTGTGTATCTCTCCCTGACTGTCTCTCCCCGTCTGTGTCTCCGACTGTCTCTCCCCGTCTGTGTCTCTCTCCGTCTGTGTCTCTCTCCGTCTGTGTCTCTCTCCCTGACTGTCTCTCCCCGTCTGTGTCTCTCCCCGTCTGTGTCTCCATCCCTGACTGTGTCTCTCCGTCTGTGTCTCTCTCCGCCTGTATCTCTCTCCCTGACTGTCTCTCCCCGTCTGTGTCTCTCTCCCTGACTGTCTCTCCCCGTCTGTGTCTCTCTCCGTCTGTGTCTCTCTCCCTGACTGTCTCTCCCCGTCTGTGTCTCTCTCCCTGACTGTCTCTCCCCGTCTGTGTCTCTCTCCCTGACTGTGTCTCTCCGTCTGTGTCTCTCTCCCTGACTGTGTCTCTCCGTCTGTGTCTCTCTCCACGACTGTGTCTCTCTC